GCCCGTTCCTGTTGAGAAAAATCTTTCCCTGGCCGAATCGAGGCCCTCTTGTTGACACAGAATGCCCTGTTAGGCACTGCAGGCCCCTGCACGGTACAGGAACCCGACCAATGCAAATCGGGGGCCTGGCCTTGTCCCTGCTTGAGAAACGGGCCCCGGAGCTCAGACAAGTAAGGAAGCGACTGTTCGTCACTTGTAATCTCTGGTCGAAATAGAAGAACACTCTGCCTCTAGGGTTCTTATAGGTGCAAGAGATCATCTCACTGACATTTGAGATTACGGCCTTGTGGGAGGGGTCCTTAATGTGACCTACACCCAGCCATTCGGATCCCTCAGTCATCCCATTGGGCCCTTTATCTTTGGTCTCGAGACCCTTCGGCCTCTCTTTGGGCCCCTCAACACGCCGCTCCGACCCGGGAACACTTTCCGCCACAGGACCCCTGTTCGGCACTGTGGCACCTAACCGACACAGAAGCCCCCTCATTGTGTGAGGGAACCCGGACATTTCAAATCGCTGACCCGGCCGTCGTTTCTGCTTGGGTAATGGGTCCCAGGGTCTCAGACGGACGTGGAGCCGACTTTTCAGTGTTCGTGGTCTCCGACCGACTTATACACCCGTATTGTCTCAGGAGTTCCTCAAACGTTGCAAGAGGACCACTGACTGATATTTCAGGTCACTACCCTACAAGCCGCGATTCTTTGAGACCTACAGCCAGTCCCTCGGGTCGTTACGCCTTCCAACCGGGCCTTTGATCGTCGGTTCTAGGGGGCCGCCCGAGCCCCTCTTCGGGTCTCATCAAACACTGCCCTTGGTCGGCGCGGGGGTCCCTTGAGAGCACAGGACCCTCTGTTAGGCACTGTAGGTGGATAACAGACACAGATCCCAACCAGTGCAAATTACTGGCCCCGGCTTTGTAGCTGATTGATAAGTGGACCCTCCGGCCCATACTGACAAGGAGCCGAACTGTGCGGTACTGGTATTGCTCGGCCAGCATACGGGCCCATATCGACTCAGGGGTCCCTGATCTGCGCAAAGGGTCCTCTGACCGTTATTTGAGGGTCCGTGTTCACACGTCGCGGCCCCTGAATAAGGATCCGACCAGCCCTTTTATGCCCCTGGAACATCCAATCGGGCCCTTGATCGTCGGACCTGTGGGCCAAGTAAGCTGTTGGGGCTTCCTCAAACACCGCCTCTGGGCGACTTGGGGCCCCTTGACAACAGAGCGCCCCTGCTAGACGCTGTAGGGCCCGATCAATGTAAATCGCTGCCTCCGGCTTTGCCCCTGCTTGGGAAATGGGCCCTCAGGTCCATACTGCCACGGAGCCGACTGTGCGTTACTGGTGGAGTCTGACGGAAATATAGGCCCTTATCAACTAAGTTGGCCCCTGATCAGCGCACAGGGCCCTCTGGCTGGCATTGGAGTGCCTGGCCCTGCGGGCCAGGCCCCTGAATGAGACCTCCGGCTGGCTATTCGGGCCCTTAATCGCAGGTTCCGAGGACCCCCCGGGTCCCTCGGAACCTAAGGGGGGGGGGACACATGCCCCTTGTGCCCCCCTGCCTGCGCTACTAGTATCAAGACTACGTACGCTAACCACACGACCTATTTTGCTAAACCTAACTTCGGCATCCCATCCACACGCCATGCTTGCATTAACAACGCTTGACATTCCGGCGACTACAAACCAGAAAAGGGATGGACTATGTTGGCATGTCTTCAGCCACTGATATGACGCAAGTTTACAAAAAGCCTACTTATAGCAAGCAATAAGCAGTCACAACACACAAAAGACGCAAGCAATAAGCAGGCACTTACGCAAGCAATAAGCAGTCACAACACACAAAAGACGGCAACAATTAAGACATTTGGGGTACGAGTCCCTACCTGTGACGTCAGTATACTGGAACACCACCATGACGATGGCCGTGATGGAGCTTGAAGTATAATTCTCTACATCAGGGCCTGAAAACGTGTAAGCCATTTACACACGGATGCCAGTGTCTACATATATGCAACGGCACAGCACATAAAAACAAGTCGGTTATGTGTGGCAATTGCTTTATTAGAGCCCTTTCGAACAGAAATGCTCATTTCAGGGCTGTGGGCTAGAGGAAAATGGTTAACGGTGGAGAAGACTTGCATGCGCCGGGGGGGGGGGGGGGGGGGGGCAACCGACGAGCTTTATCCCGCGCATGCGCGCTGGGTACCCGGTCGGGGTCCTCTTCCCGCGGGGGCTGTTGGCCCAATGTGGCTGACGCATGCAGCCTGCCCCGGACAAGCGGCGTGTCACGAGGATGCAGGATGAAGCAAGATAGGGGATAAGAGGCTAATGTGGGGTAATGTTTTGATGAGCATGAGAGGAACCAACGTGCCCTGTTCACTCAGCGTTGTGGTAAAACGTCTTGGGAAATTGATCGCATTATTTTTTGAAACAACTGAAGCAAAAAGCAATGCACAGCTGAAAAAAGTAACGGGGGCAGTATCATTTGAATATCGATTTCCTAAACCGTACCGCGGTTTGGAACTGACAGGACATCTGATGCCACACCACGAAACTTGCATTCGACTCACTGAGCGTGAACGGCAGCAGGTAATGGCAGAGTGTGTTGACGATGTCCCGGTGCAGCGACACGGGGAACGTGGCCAGGCTGGAGGCCACCAGGTAGGGCAGCGTGTCGATCAGGCTGTGCTCCAGAAACGGCACCAGGCACGACATGGTGTGCAACAGCGACTGGCCGAACCCTGGCCGCCCAACAGGGATGTGTAAGCGGCAGGCACCAGGTCATGACACATGAGTGCGCCGTAGCGACCGGCACATAGTACAGCCCAGGCGGCGTTGCATATATGATAGTGTGACAGAATGATGGATAGGATCGAGATTACTACAAAAGAACACCTCATACCTGGTCACAGGATATAAGACACAACATGATATTGCATCACAGCAGGGAGAAGAAACTGGTCGAAACGGCATCACCCACGCCTTTCCACGAGGTACAGGCAACTTCCCCAACATCATCACCTGTTCTCAGGCCGCAACACCCCAGTCGCCGCTGGTGCCCGGGAGGACCAGCGGACCAGCGGCGGACCAGCCACTGACCGTGCACGCCGTACTGTAGGAGTGGGACGATGTCGAACAGCTGAACCAGCGCACGGTGCAGCCAGTGTAGTCAAGGCTGGGTAGAGCGCCAGCCGTGTGGCGTCCTGGTCAGGCCGGCGCAGCATCACCAACGGTGCCTCAGGCACGTCCTTTAGCACGCCTGCTCAGAGGGACAGGTCAGTGATGGGGCTGTCCCTCACTGGGCCGCTCACCCACAGAATGACCCACAACTCTAATGTGCAGGATAATCATGGTCCTCTTTTAGATTAATACAGCACTACTATTGTGGTGTTTTTCTGGGCTGTCATTTCTCACCTTGGCACAACAGAGCTAAGGCATAGAATCAGATCCTTCCACCTCAAATCTGCTTTACTCACCCATAAGTGTCAAAGAGAAGTATTTCAGTGTGCAGGCAATATCCAGCTCTGATGGTAATGGTATTCCATGCAGAAGACGCAGATAATAGTCCTGCAGATTCTTGATCTTCGCAGTGACTGAAATTATGTACTGGTCATTATTGCATGTTTTCAAACAGGGAGCAAGCTGCCCAAGCAAAAAAACTCCTGCTGGCCTGTGATGGAGCTAGGTCAACCGTGATACACATGTTTCTGGCAATGTGATATAAAACAAATTCTAGCAATTATCTTGGAATGTCAAAGGCTCCTAAGCAAGCCCCTATCAAGTCTACATCTGGCACACTGCAGCCAAAGTTTAATCATTTGAAAACCTTATAAATTTTGTAGGCACTACATAAGCAGATAATATCAGCATTTAAGTCCTGTTTTTAAAAGTGCAGCTCACAATATTATTGTAAAATCAAGTAAGAAGTGTCAAATCAATGTCTTGCCATTCTGCAGATAGTGTTTGGTGGGCCAGTAGCATAACAGGCTGAAAGGACCCAGGGTTCATGGTACTGCAGACAAAAATCCCAAAAACTCAATGATGGGAGAAAAGGCAGAAAATATTTCGCCCCATGCATGCATGAACTTTTACGATCCCGTCAAATAAAGATTATTCAATGTTCCCATGCATTATTTGCTTGCGACAGTGTGGAGACAAAAGCGCACTTACATGCAGCCGCTCGAGTGCCCATCTTGCTCTGTGGTTGAAGGGTTGTGGCTTATGTCTGCTGGTTAAAGACACCACAAATGAGATCTGTGCAAAGAAATCATTTTAACTTGCGCACCCCGCCCCCTCACATTGTTTACAAACTAAGGCCTTGGGGTATCGTCGCAGAAGCGCTATAAATACTCCTTTGGATCGATTGAAATAGAGCTGGGCGACATATCTTTAATTTTTTGGAACGAAATTTGGCTACAGCAAATAACAAAACTTTAACTCATTCCCGGGTCTTTGGGAGCAGTAAAATATTGTGACGTTGTAAATAAACTATTTTGTAAGGCTTGATGAAACCATATCGTTATTTTGTGACGAAACAGAACACGTATCACCCTTATGAAGTCCAGCGTTCATGCGACGGTAAGCTCAATTGAACATATAGAAAGGCATTGTGTGTGTGTGCTTGAGTATAGTCTACTGCATTATTTAAGTGTATTACAAGGTTTCTTACCAGCTTCGGCGCCTTTGCTAGATAATAGTTTCTAATATTCTCGTGGAAACAGCCCGTAGCACGGTACAGCCATGCACGGTGCACCGTCTGAATTTGAGACCAAACAGACCCACAAATGTGAATATGATGGAAATATAGCATCGAGAGTTTTTATAGGACGACAAAATAACCCATCGAAATAAGACTTGAAAAATTGCAAATATCTATTGCTGACTAATCCCGGCTGTACTTTAATGCTCAATTGACGTCAAAACCTGTTAACATGGCGCTACGGCGACGAAAGGGAGTAAACAAACCACGGGGATATACCTAGAGCATCCCTCAGTGTGTTCTTGGGTGATTTGGTGGAGGCGCAAGGCATAAGTCGTAGGTGTTTGGGATCAGAGGTACGTTGGAGGGGGGAGGGAGAGCAAGGAGTAGCAACTAAACGCCCTGGTCTCTACTGTCATGTCCACACGGGTGCAACAATGCATGTTCTGACTTTGTAACCACTTTTCAAGATGGCCCTGCATCCCAGCCAATAGTGACGCTCATTTTCATGAGATGATGCGAGGAGGCTCATTCCATTTGCGTGAGCATGTTCTGAACCTGCACGTACCAAGCAAGAGCTTTATTTGTTCTCCACATCGTATGTGACATCAACTGCAGTTTCAAATGTTAGTTGGAGACTAAAGAATAATAATCACCTAACACCTTTGCATTCGGGATAGGAAAAATGGTTCAGGGCGCAGCAGCATTTAAAGCTAGTGTAAAAATACCTGACCATTGGTATTTGAATGCTAGGTTTGTTAAAACTGATGTAACTTTTGTTCTGGCATATGCCCCTCTAAGTAGAGTTGAACCATTGTAGAATATTTTGTTTATTTTGACTTTGTTTTTGTGATGTATTAAGTGGCTCTAAAGCAGATGAGCTCCACTGGTGCTCATTACTCCAAAATTCATTATCTAGGGTTTCTAGGATATAAAAAGAAATTCATGCTTCCAGAAGCCTGCTTGTCTTATGGGCACCATATGGTGATTTAAATTAGTGTACCCCAAAGCTCACATCATCATCATCAGCTCTGGTTTCTGAGCCATTGCCACAGATTGTACACAATTCATTGAAGCTGATTCATTACCCTTTGACCCTGAATCCAGACATCTAACCTGCCTGGCCCATGAACACATGCTAGAGTAGCTGGCTAGATACCCTTTACTCATGTGGGAAGGGTCAATTTGACCCCTCCTCCTGAGTTCTCAGGAACTAAAAATGCTAGGGATGCCTAACTTTCAGGGTGTGTTGACCTGTATGTGAACTCACTCAGGTCAAAGTTTGATGTTCCTCGGCCATGATCTTTGGGTGACATAAGGGGGGGAAGCAAGGTTAAATTCCAGGCTGGTCTCCAAAGTGCCCTCAGAACCTAGATATCTGTTTTTAACCAAAAGCTCACATGCCTCAGTTAAGGTCACTGACCTTTTTTGACCTTTTGAAGGCCATGGTGACAAAACCATGCAAGACTGCTCAGAGTTTTGCATTTGAATAAACAACAAAAATTATGCTAGGCAGTATGCTTCTACAAGCAAAATGTTCACCTTGGTCATTTTAGGTCAATGACCTATTCTGACCTCTAAGAAGTCTATAAAGGTGTATAATGCAGTTCCTGCTATCAGTAGAGTTGAAACAAGCACCAGCAACTCCCATACAGCAAGCACAAGAGTAATAAAAGAAGTTGGTTTTGACCTTTGTCTGGCCTTTATACCTGACTTTAGGTCAATGTGGTTTGGTCATTCAATATTTTCATTGCCTAAGAAAGCATCTCAGAGATTATGCCTTTGTATAACACTCTGTTGTTGCTCACTCAGATTGAACAATTCATAGGAATTGACTGTGCTGAAAGCGTGGCTTGACTTTGATTTGCCATAAGTCGGCAACCTTACAAGGTGTATCTTATTTTTTGTGCCAAATGGTTGACCACTTAATTGTCTACAGCTCTGCAAAATTTGGCACAGATGAGCCACACAGTTCGGAAGCCACTCCCGGAATACCTTTGGGAGGGGTCAATTTGACCCAACCCCACCAGAGCGTGTGTTAATCAAGCCTGAGATGGTTGGATGCTGGGGCAGCTACCAATCTGTCTGATGCTGATTGACTGAATTTGGGCAGGGGCAGGGGCAACAGACAGTGAGACCTAACCTGGAGTTGTAATAGTATGACAAATATTGATATACCTGTGACCCATGTGACTGAACATTGCAATATGGCTGGTGTAAAGTAACCAATGTTTGTAGTTACACTGCAAGGCTCTGGAGATGTAACCCAGACATGATAAGTGTTTGGTTATGTGCTGCTGGTGTTATATGGCATGCACATTAACTTATGACCTCTGGGTTCAGGCATTTTCTGTGATTATTTTCTGACAAAAATAAAGGTGCCCAGCTTGCATTTATTAGTTGCAATTTTGTGTGCCTTTCTACTATTAATCATACTACAAATTATACCAAGCATTGCAGAACACTAAAATTCCACCACAAAATAATGTTATCAACTCAGAATATTATAATTGGGTTGTGGGAATCAGTGCTTGTGCATCCAAGGGGTTGAGCATATACCAATGTCATTTGACTGTAGCCACCCAGCAATCCATCATATCAAAATGTTTGGATAAAATCTACATGAAAGTGATTTTTAATGATTAATTTACCTGCTCAACCTGAAACAGGCATTGCTTTTGGAAAGTTTTCACTATTTTTTCAAACATTTCTAGTCATTATCTCAAAAAGCTGGAATTTGTGTGTAGTTATGCCCATTTAAGGCTTCTGATGTCACCTTTCAACAGCAAATGCTTAGAGATTGTTTTTTGCTGCTGTATGGAACCACACTGGTTTGTTTTGGGCTCTATGTCAGCTGATCTTTCAAGCAGATGCTGTGATCTCAGGTCCGTGGGGGGGGGGGGGGGGGGGGCTCCAAGAACATTAACAGGTCCAGGTCCATGGGGGCAACACAGGAGCAAGGTTAAGAGGCTTGGGATGTAATTCAGGAGTGTATGATCTAAGATGCAGACACTGTACTGATCATTGTCATCAGTACACTGCCAGTACACAGCCATTTCCCACTGCCATGACAAAGCCCCAAGCAACCGCCCACTTCTCCGTGACTCCAAACATTCACGATGTCGTGCATAACGTTATGCAAGTGGCGCTGAGTTTCCTCATGGGGCCGTCTCTCGCCGACAGCAGGCGAGCGGGCTGCTCGCTCCCCAGACAGGCCAATGGCGCTGGCTCGCCTGCTGGGAGTGGCTGCGGTGCGGCTGTCGCCGCTAACGGCTCGCGTGGCGCCCGGCACCGGTCCGCTTCGGCGCTGGCTCTTCACGGCGCCGCCGCGCCTGCGCAGTGGCAAGCTCGGCGCGTCGCGGTTCGCGCCGCAAGAGATGCGGCGGCTCATGGCGCTGGCTCGGCCGGAACGCTGGAGGATCGGAGGTAGGCGTAGGCCGCGGTGGCGGGTACCCGCGGTTGGATGGCTGACGAGTCTGAGGGGTAGGACGGTGTGCTCCTCTCTGGCGGGTGACTGACGGGACTGAGGGACGGGACGGCGTGCTCCTCTCTGATGGGCAGCGCACGGGTCTTGGGGACGGGTCTGAGGGACGGGACAATGTGCTCCTCTCTGGCGGGGGACTGACGAGTGTGAGGGACGAGTCGGAGGGATGGGACAGTGTGCTCCTCTCTGGCGAGTGACTGACTGGACTGAAGGACGGCTGTGATGGACGAGACGGTGTGCCCCCTCCTTCTGGCGGGTGATTGACGGGTCTGAAGGGCGGCTTTGAGGGACGGGACACTGTGCTCCTCTCTGGCGGGTGGCTGACGGGCTTGGAGGACGGGTCTGAGGAGCGGTTCTTTCTGGCGGGCGGCTGACGAATCTGAGGAACGGGACGGTGCGCTCCTTTTGATACAGTGTGCTCTTTTTTGGGATGGTATGCTCCTCTCTGATGGTGTGCCCCTCTCGGATGACATGCTCCCCTCTGGGACGGCGTATTCCTCTTTGAGACGGTGCTCTGAGAAGGCAGACATTGTCTGCCTTTTGTACTGTGCTCTGGTACGAAATGGCCGAGCGGTTGTTCGTAGAAATACTATTTGGGTCGTAATGGAATTGCTTAACGGTAATACGTTTCGCGCATTTGATCGCGGCCGACGTGCTGCGCTCCAACGCTAGCTGTCGTTCGTCATTCGCACCGACAGAAGGCGTCCACCGTGACCGTCTGTCCGCGACAGGTGCCGTGGGCCTGCTGCTGGTCTCCAGCGCCGTGACCATGACGGTGCCGTTTGCCATCGGCCGCGTGGTGGACATCATCTACCAGGAGGAGGCAGACACTGCCGGGCAGCGGCTCATCACCATCTGCCTGGCGCTGGGTGGCGTCTTCATCGTCGGCGCCGCCGCCAACTGCGGCCGAGTCTACCTCATGGGCATCTCAGGTGGGCGGCGGCGGCAGCAGCGAACGCGCGGCCCCCGCCAGAGTAACCCGATAGCCGGGTGTGACGGGAGGATTAGTGGCTCGTTTTATCTTCTTCTTTTTTTTGCTGAAGGAATGTAGTTTGTTTAGCCATGATTTTGTGTCTGACTTAGGGAGACTTGGTGTTTTCAGGCAGGATGCTTGGGCTTTCCCCGGTATTGATATTGAAAGCCATTTCGTTGTTTTGATCAACTGCGAGGTAAGTCCGACATTGGCCCGCGGTATTTTTAGATAAGATCTAATGGTCGTCATTCAAAGTTCATCCCTCCCTGCACGAACACGATGTTCATGAAGTATTGCGCGCACTGCGTGAACTTCCATCAGCGTCCAAAAGACAACAACACGGGAGTTTAAGCTGTGACTCATAACCAATTCCCCGGGACCACTCTGCAGAAGTCCGACTCACGTTCGCCTAGGGACCACTTTGCAGAAGTCCGACTCACGTTCGCCTGGGAACCACTCTGCAGAAGTCCGACTCACGTTCGCCCTGCGGCGGCCAGGCCCGGGTTGCGCTGCAGGCACCCGTGCCTTATTGTTTTCGGTCCCGCCGTTTAGACAGCGGCGATCGGCCCCGTGGCTGCACGGAGCTGATCGGGCCGGTCACGGCTCCGCGCCGACCCTGGCCTGCTCAGCGGCGCGGCCCGTCGTCGCCCGGCCGCGGCCCGGCTCTGCGGCGCCCCGCTGACGCGGCGTGGCGTCGACAGGCGCCCGGATCGCGCAGCAGCTGCGCGTCTCCGTGTTCGGCGCCCTGCTGCGCCAGGAGGTGGCCTTCTTCGACCGCAGCCGGACGGGCGAGCTGGTGAACCGGCTGTCGGCCGACACGGCGCTCGTCAGTCAGTCGGTCACCATGAACATCTCGGACGGCCTGCGCGCCACCGCCATGGCCTCCGCCAGCGTATCCATGATGGTGAGGCGCTCGCCGCGGATGTCTGGACGGCGTTCAGGAGGAGCAGTCGACTGGCGGAGGTCATCTTTGCTTCGTAGTCGCTCTGTCTGGTGACTTAATTTTCCGTTTGAGTTTAGGCGAAGGAGAGGGGATATTCTTGGTCTACCAGATGCCGAGGTTGTCAAGTTTTCACGCTTGAAAGTTGATTCTGAGCATACTTGTAATAGTAGCACGCGATCGCCCCGCTTATGATGTAGGCACAGAAAAGTTTTGAATACCATGCGATTCACGAAGATAACAAAGGTAACGAAGAAAATAGCACCACTAGCATTTTTACCGACCGCAATTTGCTCATTCCTTTCAGAGAGGTACGAGTCTGAAGGCTATATTGGACCATTCTGGTGTGGCCAGGTATTTGATGCTACCACTCGATAATGGGTCAACGGGCTAAAAGATGTCCGGTTTATGTCCGTGTAAACCACTGAGCGCATAACAAATCGTACTTTATTTTCGGTAGCATCCGCCGCGCTCGGTTCCCATCGCGGACTTGTCCTAACTTCATGGATGCCATGCCCTCTCTGTTGTCAGTTTTACGTGTCGACGAAGCTGGCGCTGGTGGGACTGAGTATCGTGCCGCCGGTGGCCATGGTGGCTGTCGTTTATGGCCGATACGTGCGCAGGATCACGAGAGCCGTCCAGGTGAGCTGCCCTCCTCCCCGGACACCTGCCCTTCCGGCCCGCCGGTAGCCACTGGCGCTCGCTCAGTGCTGTTGGTCTCAGCGGTTTGCAAACCTTTTAGTATTACTTCTCTATGATCTCTCGGGATAGCAGTGCTGTGTATTCAGAGAACTGTGTGATCAGCTCACTGTTGTCGTCAGGCTCGTGAAATGTTCGTCACGCGCTGTGTGTTGTCAGAACATCGCTTTTCGCCCAACCAAACCAACAGTATAAGTTGGAGAGTGTTCACAGGCACCAGTAAAATCACACACTCTTTCACTACTCTCAGCACGTCATTCAATATCGTGTTACTGCCGGTTTATTCACGTCTGGCAAACCATGACAAATATGTGACCTCTGCGCGCGCGCCGGGCGTCCCCCTCCACCGCCGCTTTGAACCGCACCACCAAGCTATGACCTCTGCGCGTGCGCCGATCGTCCCCCACTACCTCCGCTTTGATCCGCACGGCAGGACGGCCTAGCTGATGCCAACGCCGTGGCTGAAGAGAAGCTGGCCAATATTCGCACAGTGCGCGTGTTCGCGCGCGAGGACCACGAGGCCGAGGGGTACGCTCGCAGCACGCGTGACGTGCTGGCCTTGTGTCAGCGCGAGACGTTGGCACGGGCCGGCTTCTTTGGAATGGTGAGGCGACTGCTGGCTGCTGTCGATTCGGTGTGTTCATTGAGTTATCACGGCACATATCCCAGCGCTTAATACGTTTATTGTGGTTCATTGTATGCAAATATTTGTTTTCTGTATTTACGTTTCAATGAATTTTGATTGAGAGGTGTAGGCGTGTCGGCGCGGTATTACCATTGTCTAATCGGGCTCATTCTGCGTATTGATTATTCCATGTTGCGTCACGAGCTTGCAGAGGACCCTTGATGCAATCCTGCGCATATAGATAGGATGCTCATTTACGAGGCACGTTGTGTTGAACTGGAGCTTCCTCATTGTCAGTAAAGAGTAACGTCATATAACCCAGCTTGAGCAGCGTCCTCAGCCCGCTCACACGCGTCTCGCATAAACTCGACGTTGTACCTCACGCGTCGCCGTCCTGCCGGGTAGCCGGACGACACGTGCCCCACCTTCCCGTGACGTCTCCGCCCGCGCCGGCAGACGGGGCTCAGCGGCAACAGCGTGATCCTGGCCGTGCTCTACTACGGCGGCTCGCTGGTGGGCGCCGGCCAGGTCACGGTCGGTGACCTCTCCGCCTTCCTGCTGTACGCCGCCTACGTGGGCGTGGCCGTCGGTGAGGGACTACCCCCCGCACAATGGGGGGGGGGGGGGGGGAGCGGAACCGTGTGGACGGGTTTAAACGGACGCCGCGGAGCGGAATATCGCAAAGCTGCTGCTGTCTCTATGCTCGAATATCTCGTTGGCTCGGGTCAAAAATAAAATCTCTTGCGCACGTGCAGACCGAGACTAAAAGACGATGTTTGCACCATTTGTTCTGTCCAAGCTAGAGTTTTGTTTCTGTGAAAGCTACAGTTTCAGAGTTGACGCCCGGGCTATTGCCGCAGCAGCTGTATGTACGTGTGTACCATGGCACGGTTACTTGTTCGGACACCACTCTGCCAGTACCTGTGTAGCGTGTACCTGTGCGACTATGCACTGGCGTTTCTGCCTGGGCGCGTTGCCTGCCGTGTGTACCTCTGGCAGCGCCCCCTACGTCCCACCCTTCTCCAGCGCGGTGGGCTTCGGGCCGTGTGCACCTGTGCCAGTGCCCTCGCGTCCCTCCCCACTCCAGCGCCGTGCCGTTCGGCTATTGTAACCGGTGTGGTTGGTGGGGCTGCAGGCGGCCTCAGCTCGTTTTACTCGGAGCTGCAGCGCGGCCTGGGCGCCAGCACGCGGCTCTGGCAGCTGGTGGACCGGCAGCCGCAGCTACCATACTCGGGCGGCGCGCGGCCGGCCGCCCTCCGCGGCGACCTGCGGCTGCAGGACGTCACGTTCGCCTACCCCAGTCGGCCCGATGACCTGGTGTTCCGCGGCCTCAGCCTCAGCGTCACGGAAGGTCAGACCACGCGCCGTGTACCCCGGCAGGCAGGGTGTGTGTCGGCCCAGAGCTGCCGGTAGCGTCATGCGAGGATCGCCTGCATGCTCACAGCAGCGGCGTTTGGCGTGCTGTGATCCGCCGAAGCGGCGAGACCATTGTGTGTGGGCGAAAGTATTCGGAGCACCACCCAGATGACGTACAGCGATGTCTGTGTCGTAGTTACTATCTCCGCGTGAGGCGCTGCACACGTCACACACGCTGGCGTTGTGTTTCACAACGAGTTTTCCCTCGTTTTCGCTGTGGTGCCGGCTGGTCCCTCCCCGTGCTGACGGCCGGTCCTCTACCCGTGCTGATGACCGGTCCCTCTCCCCGTGCTGATGGCTGGTGCTCTCCCCGTGCTGACGGCCGGTTCCTCTCTCCCCCCCCCCCCCCCGGGCAACAGGCTCGGTGCTGGCAGTGGTCGGGCCGAGCGGCTCTGGCAAGTCCACGGTGGCCTGGCTGCTGCTGCGGCTGTACGACCCGCTGGAGGGCCGCGTCACACTGGACGGCAACGACGTCCGCGAGCTTGACCCCATGTGGCTGCGGGACCAGATCGGCGTCGTCAGCCAGGTCAGGCCGGGCGGTGTCACGCATCACTGGTCGGCTCAGTGGTCGGTCACGGTCGCGCTCCGTCTGTTGCCGGCGCCGGTGTGCCGCAGGACGCTGCACCCGTGCCTGTCGCGTCTCTCCCCAGCGGCGTGGGTGCGGCCGCCCACTGACGCGGACGCGTCGTGACGCATCCCCCTCCCCCGTCGGCAGGAGCCCGTGCTGTTCTCCACCTCGATCCGCGAGAACATTCTGTACGGCGCCAGCGTGGCCAGCACGGTCACTGAGCAGCAGCTGCGCGACGCCGTCGAACAGGCCAACGCCGCAGAGTTTGTCGATAGGTGAGAGGGTGCGCGCACGTGCGGGTGGACGGGCGGGCGTGGAACGGCGGCCGGGATCCTCTGCTGGCCGGCTGTTGGTGCGCCGCGGATCCGGCCGTGCGGGACGGCCTGACCGTGCACGGCTGGACACTGGAGACTGCCTGACCATGCACGGCTGGACACTGAAGACTGCCTGACCTCGCACGACTGGACACTAGAGACTGCCTGAACGCGTATGGCTGGAGACTGGAGACTCCCTGACCGCGCACGGCTGGAGACTGCCTGACTGCGCACAGCTGTACACTGGAGACTGCCTGACCGCGCACGGCTGGACACTGGAGACTGCCTGATCGCGCTCGGCTGAACACTAGAGACCGCCTGACCTCGCACGGCTGGACACTGGAGACTGCCTGACCGCGCTCGGCTGGACACTAGAGACTGCCTGACCGCGCACGGCTGGACACTGGAGACTGCCTGATCGCCCTCGGCTGGGCACTAGAGACTGCCTGACCGCGCACGGCTGGACACTGGAGACTGCCTGACCTCGCATATCTGGACATTGAAGACTGGTTGGGATTTCCCCGCCTTTGGACACAGTCAAACAGTGTGAGATTTGGTCTACTAGCAGCTTGGATTAGGGGTTGGCGCTTAGTTACGCGGTTTTGCTCGTTATCTGCGTAGTCTCAGCGTGCTTTTTGGATCTTGGACCCTCAACTGGATTGTGAATTATCGTTTTGTTCGGCAGTTTTGGGTATATTTCATCTCTGGCATAATATTTGACAGTTTTTGGGGCACACGATGACATCCACATGAAAACTTCAATCACTGCCATACCATTTGAGCCTCTGTTGTAACGTGCATATTTGGGGGGGCGGGGGCGGGGAATGTGGTACGCGACTTGATTTGAAGTTTCTTGGTATGTTTTTTGGGCATTCGAAATTAACGAAAATCACTTTGTAGCATATGCACATAGCTTCCGTCTTCAGGCTCCAGGACGGTATGGACACGCTGGTCGGTGAGAGGGGCGTGATGCTGTCCGGAGGTCAGAAGCAGAGGATCGCTATAGCCCGCGCCATACTGAAGGTAAGCAGAAGTGTCCGGCCCGCCGTCTTTTCTGTTAGAAAAAACCCGTCTTATGTCATTTTTTGCACCTAAATAAGACTTCTGGAACTTCCAAAGAAGTGCTGCCAGCTTCACTCAAAACAGCCAAGGGTATGCGGGGGACAAAAGGCGCTAGTCTGCTTTTACAACATCTGCGTTATGAGGGAATATGATGAAATGAAGGTAATCGACCAGCGAAATGGATAGTAATGGAATGATTTTTGTTCGAAAGAAATGGAAATAGCATGCCAGTGAAATGGGCGTGTGTTGTTATTATTAACTGTTTTCTTAACACGACATCGCTTTCTACAATGAGTAGTTGAGCAGTGTTGGCGGTGACTGTGGAGCGCGTGCTGCCGGGGGCGGGCCGTGCGGGAGGCGCTGACGGTTGGCCGGCGCCGCCAGAGCCCGCGGCTGCTCATCCTTGACGAGGCCACCAGCGCGCTGGACTCCGAGAGCGAGAGCCTGGTGCAGGAGGCGCTGCAGCGGCTGATGCGGGGCCGCACCGTCATCACTATCGCCCACCGGCTCAGCACCGTGCGGCGCGCCGGTACGTGTAGCGCCTGCCGGCAGCGGCGGCCCGCTCGTGCATGACCTAAACGCATATCACCTCTGTATTTGCTGATCAGTGCGAGGGCGTTACTAATATGCGTGTGTTTTGGGTCGTCGCTCCAACGCCTCAGTTATTTATGACACCGGATGTGTGCTCCACACCAGGACGACCTTATAGACGTCCGTGAATTTTATCCCGACGAAAACAACCGTTTCCAACACGCAACGTGCCCGCCCCCCCCCCCCCCCCCCCTGCGGCTCAGGCGAGCGCTGGCACAGGCATCCGCCTTAGGCTTTTTAAGCTCAGTCACTTGTGTTACCTCTTTCCAAGGAAATGACTCGGCTCAGTGTGGAAGGAGGTTTTTCCGCGGAACGTCAGCGTTGTGTCTGCTAGTTCCGGGACGCGTTGTTGGCTGTGAAATGAGACTGGTGATATGATGAGGAGAGCAGGCTGATCCCCTTACTCAGAGTTTTCCCTAGACCTCTGTTCAATCTCGAAATCGAAGGCACCTGACTGTACAAGGCCAATGAGAAGAAGCAGTCCATGGCGGCGCACGGTGTGTTTCGCCGACGATTGTTCATTCCACAAACGTGATCGGGCCGCCTGCGCCGGCGGTCACACGTGCGCCGGCTGCCGTGCCCTGACCGTGGCCGCATGCTCGCCTCGGCAGACGCGATCGCCGTGCTGAGCGGCGGCGCCGTGGTGGAGCAGGGCTCCTACGACGAGCTCATGGCCAGGAGTGACGGCGTCTTCCGGCGGCTGGTGGAGCGGCAGACCATCCAGAGCTGAGAGCTCTCCAGAGCTGCTGGTCAGGAGTGACGGCGGCTTCCGGCGGCTGGTGGAGCGGCAGACCATCGAGAGCTGAGAGTGACGGCGTCTTCCGGCGGCTGGTGGAGCGGCAGACCATCCAGAGCTGAGAGCTCTCCAAAGCTGCCGGGCAGGCGCGCGCACAGAGACGGCAGGCCTCGTAGGGCTGCCGGCTCGGGGCACGGAGCGCTTCGGTTGCCCAAAGCCCGTTGTTTATGAAGTGGAAAATCGCCTGGACTCGAGGACTGGGATTCTGTGGGCGGAATGATAGACTCCAAAGCATGTGACGCGAGGCACATGGTACCGGGGCTTTATGCCCCAACACTACATGAGTCCTGGCCGTTCCTCCGGGCTGGTCCCACTGCGTCACGGCCGGTCAGCTACGGGATAGGGCGAGCAGTTTTGGTCCTGGTCGCCATCCCCATAGCCAAAATAATTGTTATTTAACGGCTCTGGTAGGACAATTCGGGTCTTTTCTTGTTCTGACTCGACACGAAATTCAATGGCCCGGGTATGATCGTCGACCTGACTCCTTTGGGCTCAAACACCAAGCAAAGCAGTCATAATACAAGCATCATATTGTAGTGTTTATTTTTGACAAGCTTCGCAAAGACGAGGCGCTAGTTGTCACACGGTAAGCTTACGTAGGTGTGGGTGTACATGCAATGGCTTTTTGTAGGGAATGCACCGGGTATACGTCCTCCCCTTCCCCCCCCCCCGCCACCCCCCTGCCCCAGCTCGGGACAATACTGTTCACTTCTTCTTTTTTGGAGGAAGCTAAGATGGAAAAAATGTTGTTCAATACGTTACTTTTTGGTTAGTCCGCGCCATGATGGGTTTTTCGACTCTCATTTACTAAAAAATTTATTAATTGGCTCATTCATTCATCCATTTGCACTGATGAGTTATGCGCCATGTAAGGGTTCTGTAGCCGGGTATTAGAAGGATTGTGAGTCCTCTCCATGTAGTGATATGGACGCCTTCAGAGCGTTGCCCTAGAACATGTTTTAGGCTGTGAAGTCCTCCGCGTAGTATATTAGTGTCCATCCGTCCTACAGCCAGAGGCTTTCTGCCACAGTCGCGTCGCACACAATCTTCTCAAGCCGTTCTTTACTGTTGTGTTGGCCCCCGTAAGCGCTGATGCAGATCCCTGGTGTGAAGGGGACCACTGGTGCGCGGGAGACGCGCTTCCCTTGGGGACGTACATACACTATGTCACACCGCACCCCGTTTGTGGGGCGTTCGGAACAGGTGTGCGCAGTGTGCTCACATAGCTATCATGTCAGGGTATGTACAGCACATCCGTAAGTAGTGGTTGCGTGTCTTAGCTGGCGCAATGCTCCGTTCTGTTCTTCTGCCCGCTGCTAAGGTTTGCCTCCGGAAATGTCCTAATTGAAAAATGTCTACGGGGAAAGAAAGAAAGATCACTGTTATTTGTTGTCCGAATGAATACTATATTTATTGAACAAATGCGAGGATGTTCGGTGTGATATGGCAGACCACATCCATTTCACAGTGGTGCAGTCATTGGCCGCCTTGAGCCGTGCTCTGAAAGTGATAGCCGGTTTGGTGCGTACATCGACGCCACACGCGGTAAGTGGCGTTCAATTGTTACACCGGAGGAGCCCTGTCATAGCACGGACCTCTTGCGTATGGTGGCGGCATTGTGATCGCCAAGACCGGTGAGTGTCATGACGTTTCCGGACATGGTGTCGTGCGACTCGCGATGTGTTCGGCGATGAGTGCCATGACATTTCCGGACCTGGTGTCGTGCGACTTGTGATGTGTTCGGTGGCCGGCCTTCTTGTGCTCTGGAAGCTATTGTGACTTTCGAATATAGAATAAAGGGACGCTGATATCTTTGGCTTGTTTGTCTTCATTTGGTCCACGAAGCACACGGCTTGATCCTGACTGTTGTTCACACGGCCGCTGAGTTTTCAGCGCCAGCAGAGACTGCACCACCGGAGCAGACATGCGTCGGTTAACTGGCCAGAGGGCCAACGTGACCTCGGATGTCCGTAGTGCGGTGCTGAACGGTACGTGGGACCCTCCGCAGCCGGGTCTGGAGAGGAAAGTCGGAAGTCTGGCGGCTCCGGAATAAAGACAAGCTCCCTGCTCATTGCGTGGTTTGATCCAAAGTCGTACGTTCCATCCATTCCAAAGCATTTAAGACAAGAGCCATTTCACGGAACGCTTACGTTCAACAGTTTACTCACATCGCTGCGTGCATTAAATTGCCTTAACACCTTTCTCCTCCTTCACCGCCTATCATTGACTGACGGCACCGCCCTCTGGCCACCCTTAGATTGCTCACGTGGTCCTGGCCTCCATGACGGCACAGTTTTCCCATGAAAACGGAGAGAGGACGGACTGGGCCTGTCCCGATCAGCGCCGTTCCTCTCAATTCAGTCAGGCGACCCACGGGAGTACTGCAGGAGGGCAGAGATAAAGCCGAAGACGGGTTGCGGCCAGGTCGGCTGCTTGCCTGCCGGGTCAAATGATGCATACTGACGTGATCACCACAGAGCATAAGGGGCTCGTTCCCGTCCGGTCCCTCTCCGGCGAGGTCAGGACAGGTGAACTCTCATCACCACCACAGGAGGGTAGAAACTTGGGAAACTGGGCCAGCGTCCAATCCTCTCTTCTCAACTCAGGCCAGGCTGTGTGCAGTTGCATCATCAACGCTGGACGGCAGATACATAGTAAAATCGGTGTGGATCAGCTTCGTTCCACCCACATCATGTCAGTTCAGATGTACCCAACCCACCACCAAATGAGAGCCGAGAAGTACGATCGGCTCCCTTCTCCCAAGTCAGGCTTGGTGTGCTGTGTTTGTTGAATACCACTGTTATGCATATTTTCCATACACTTAACTCATTCAGTAAACTTCACAGTTCCAGGCGGGTGATGCTCCTTTTAAATGGATCGGGCGATGGATGCGCGAAAATACATATTGTCAGCATCCGTCAAGTATTCAAATACTTGGATGTTTGTAAAACACGCTTTCAGAATAACGGATGTCTGTGGATGGGCCGGGCTGGACCTGCCGATTGCTGTTGCGACGCGCATGATTCGACTGGCGCAGCTTTTTATCAGTTAAGTTTAGCAGCTACACTTAGGGAGTGCCTATACGTTTTACCCTTAACTTTCGTGGATCACTTCACTTGATATATTGTCTAGGACAGTATCCTTTTGACCTGTATTAGACGAGACGTGGAGATAACTGTGACAGTACCTATGGCAGTAATCGAGGCCTTACTTTAGAGAGGTCAACACGTCCTCGAGGATATTCAGTTCGAATCCTTACAAATGCCGCGTTCTGTCTGTCGTCAGCACCAATCACGGCCCAGTATTCGTCCTACGCATGTCACGTCACCACAAAGTCACATGGCCTGTTACGTCACGCTCCGGCTGACGATGACGCCAAGATTTTTTGTCAGCCAGTCAGCATGGCGGGGTCCGTACCATAGTGTCCAAGGTACAAAATGTCCAAAGGTACAGAATGTCAAAAGTACAGAATGTCCAAGGTACAGAATATCCAAAGTTCATAATGCCCAACGCACACCATGCCCAAAATGGGAAGTAACTTCCAACAGAGTGCAGAGTGGAATGAGTCCATATCACAATGCCCAATGTCCAGAATGTCCAAAGTACAGAATGTCCCATGCACATATTGTCCAAGGCACAGAATGTCCAGACCAAATGTTCCAAACTAGTTCCTAGAGCGGCTGCCTTAGCATGAATAATTGCCGCTATTGGCAGGCAGCGTTGCCCCGCCCAGTGTCAGCCGCGCGCCTACAGTTGATACCATCACGGAGACCACGCGCGTGGGGTTCGCCGGTCGGATTGCTAGCTTAGTAACAAATCCATGTCCGCCCCACGACGCAATGGAGCCGGTTGGAACTGCCGCGCCGAACAATGGTCGCTGACTGTCAAAGTTGAGCCTGGTAAGGTCTGCCTGCATTTTGGGCTGCTAAAAACATTGAAAGCAGGCGAAATATGAATCGGAATTATAGCCGCGCTATGCCCGAAAATATAATTGTCGAAATCGACACCAGCAGTGAGCAATTCTGGACGCCGATCTTGACTGCTCGATTGTCAGCATCATGCAGACATAATAAGTTTGGGTTGATCATTTTAAATTAGTTCAAATAACAACTCAGTTCGGGCTAATAATGGTTTCCAGCATCATGCACTATCGTGGTGGTTACTATGGGATTGTTTTCAGCAATAGTAAGTTAACTTCGGAAAATTATCGTGGTCATTAGTGAATGCGATTGAATGAAGTGAATATTATTCAATATGGCATTATAGAAACACCCCATATCCAGGACGTGCGGAGAGCTGGTCGAAACACACGATTAAATTTAAAGTCATAGATGACCAGCACCAAGTATTAGGTCAAGGGGTTCAAGGCAATTACTAAAGCATCATTTCTAGATGTACTTCACATGAAAAACGCTGCTTATGTGACGTCCCAAGATGCCTGATTGCCTCGAACAAAGTTGACGATTGCGCGCCAACGATTTAAATATATGAATACTTGTCTCCCGCCGTTAAAATGTATCCTTTATAGCTAGTGTCTTTTGCGCAATGCGGTATCGGCCAAGCTACGCAAGCGATGCAATTGCTTAATTCGATATTAGGCATACTTAACGTGTTCACCTCTCATGTTTTCCTCGTAAAGGATGTGCACACTTTCCTGTCTTGGATTAGGACGCATAGCCCGCTGGGCTCAAGCGTCTGATTCAGTTGTCTCCATTGGGTCTCTTTTGTATTCATATTTTCCTTGCAGCTTTCTTTTGGTATACTTTGGAGACCAAGCATGATAAAGGAAAATTACCTCAATTTCTGCTATTCAATTGTCTACAGCTATGCCAATATTGGCGAGGCTACGCTGTGCCGATTGGAAACCATTCCGGAAAAACCTTTGGGGGTCAGTGACCCCCCATTAAGTTTGTAAAAGTCATCGATGTCCTCTAAAAGCGTGAGCGCCGGAAAAAACCGGAATATAAGATGGAAACAATTAGGTAAATTCCGGTAAACTTTTGAGGATTTTCATCAGCAGTCTTTATTGCGCTGTGTTCTCCCTTTTCAACTTACCAAGACCTCCTGTACTTACCTCTGTACCACAACATTATTCTCCAAAGCTTTTCTTCTTCCTCTAGACCCTTCCTAAAAACATTCCAATGGTTCACATAGAATGTCGCATGGCCCGTGCCGGCAACAACGTGCATTTTAACGACCACACACAAGTTGCATCTCTGAGCTAATTGTACACAGTCCACCACATTTTTCCGAACACGAAGCATGCCAACAAACTTGACCTGGCGGAGGAGGTCGCTATGCCATGCCAAAGCTCCCAGCATGGCACCGGAGACAAATAGGTGCTTCCATAGCACAGGTGATGCTCTTCGACGGCTTTGATGCACAGCATCGGAGCCAGTGCCGTCACAATGACTTGGTTGGAGAGCATCAACGCTGGATACCCAGCGGTCCACCCCAGTGTAAGATCAGTTAGTTTCCGAGAGAGGCAGCACCTGCTCCAACTCGTCCCGCTGTGCATGCGGTCTGCCCGAACCAGACTTTGGAATTGCAGACCGCAAGAATTATAAGATTTGTCAAGTCATGATTTGGCAGGATTTACGCAGCCCTTAATCGTGATACCACGGTCACAATGATGCGCCGAAGACGGTGAAACTACGTCGG